GATTCAGCCGCTTCTGAAACTGATCAGTTTCAGCAGTGGCTGAATCTGGATGCCAGTTCCGACTTACATACAGATTCAACTTAAGAACAAACCTACAGTCCCTATCTTGTACGTAACCCGGGGACTGCCTGTAGTTGTATTTAACATGTGATTTGGATTTTAAGTTGTCCAGTAAGAGAGTGATAGAAAACTCTCATGGAGGGAAACAGGAGCCATGGATTCCCCTCAAGCAACTAATATTGATTGTTCCTGATATAACTTGGATCCCATAATTTTCTGAGTTCCCAGCCTGAAACTCCCAGTTGCAAATACTCAAATACTGAGTGTAACTGTCTTGATTTAACATAATGCTTAAAAAAAAAAAAAAAAAGAAATCTGGCTAGTGCTCAGTTCTAAATTCTAATGAAACAAGTGTCCCCTTTTCAGGCTTGGAAGTTAACTATCAGCTTTTTCTTATAGTAGGGGGGACTGCCAAAGTCCATTTCTGACAACTTGATAGTCACAACAGCAAGAAGTTGAAGCAAATCTCTAACTAATATACAATAATTTGAAAGAAGACCTTCAGTTAACCACTACTGAATGTTACTAATGTGTGCAATGTGAATCTGGCAATACTGGGATCTTCATTTAACTTTATTCTTTAAAATACTGAAAAGAACATTCAAGACCTGTTCAGTGTGGAAAGGTAAAAATTCTCTTTGTGTACAAAACAGAATCTATAGGGTTTAGAGTAGTGAGCACACTCCAGAGAACCATGAAACCAGTCTTATGAGTTTTAAATGTCGGTTTTAGGGATGTTAAAATTAGATTAATCGACTAATTAAATAGTTGATGGAATTTCCATTGACTATTCGATTAGTCGATAAGGGCACTTCCACCTTGAAATGTAGCAAGAGCCCGCCCAGTTGTTTGAAATGCCGCATGAAGCCTGGGGCCAGCAGGGGACTCAGAGGCTCCATGTCGGACTTTCTGCAGTAGGTGTTTTTGTGCATTTCAAAGGCAGAACGCTGCTGCTGCGTCCCTGCCCCCTCCCAGAGAGCTGGGGGCAACCAGCGCCCCTTCCATTCCCCCAGCCCCCCGTCTCTCCCTCCCACCCCCCTCTGCCTCTTTCTGATAGAGGCAACAAGGGGGGTGGGAAGCAACTAGTCGAGTAGTGTGTTGACTATCCGATAAGCTTTTGCTCGTCGGATAGTTAATTAGTCGCTTACATCCCTAGTAGGTTTAGGATGTCTGGAATATATGCAGCTCCAAATATGTTCAAACTCAGGGCTTACTTAGGACATGATCCTGTACAAATAATCCAAGCTACAGTAAATACAGGGCCAACTCATAAGTACTGAAGTCTTGTTAAGGTAGCACCCTCTGTGTACCCCTCAGATTAGTAACACCATTGTCATGTTCAGCTGTGCTGAACTGGGAGAACACGGGTCCTTGCATACTTTGTCCTTAGCCTTTATTTTTTCCATGTATAATTATCAAACAAAGGTCAAGCAGGCCCATGGGCACCATTGGAAGACAGCATTCTGCAGAAATATTGAGAGGGTTGTTAGAAGAAAAAGTTGTGAGGTCTTTAGCTTGTGCTGCGTTGCAAGTGCGCTCTACTTGCATTTGAGTTTTCAGCTAAACTCTGAACTGCCAGATAAACATGTTTGCATGAAATATGGTGCATAATTTCTTAAATGTGCTGTTCTGCAGGCCATCACGAAAACGAAGAGATCTTGGTCGTGTGGCAAATGCCACAGTGGTAGTACCAACTGTCGCATCTTCAATGAATACCTCCTCTGCCATGGCACCAGAAAATGCAGAGGAACAGAAATCTTTTGCGAGTGTGAAATTTAAGGAGTCCTTGGTTATCTCAGGTCTACGGCATTTTACAGGGTATCGCATTGAGCTCCATGCTTGCAACCATGATGCCCAAGAATCCCGGTGCAGTGTTGCTGCATATGTTAGTGCCAGAACCATGCCGGAAGGTGAGTTGCCTTTCCTGAGCTTTGCTTAAGGGGAATCGAATTCTTTTTAAATGGCCATTTCCTTGGTATGTTAGCTGCATTTTAGAAAATGCTTTGGGACTCGCATCGTTATAAACATGTTGCCAATAAAGATAGCTGTTTGGCGGTTAGATGGGAAAGGGTGATGCATTGGGTTGGACCAGATTTGTATTTTGCAAGATAGTTTAGAACTTAAAAAAAAAATGCTTTTTCTAAACATAACTTTGAAAATAATCTGTTGTCTTTAGCAAAGGCAGATGATATTATTGGTCCAGTTACCCACGAGCTGGTCGAAAAAAATGCTGTTCATTTGAAGTGGCAGGAGCCAAAGGAGCCGAATGGGCTAATTGTGCTATATGAAGTGTACTATGGACGTCTTGGGGAACCAGAGGTGAGAGCTTCTTGCATTCAGCCTGTCCATAGATGGTATGTGAGGAGGTGTGCACTTCACGCTCTTGATGAAACGTGGGGAGATGGTTGGTAATGGTAGCTGGGAGGTTGAATTTGCATATCCCTGGAGTCAGAACAAGATCAGGATAGAGGCTGTTTCCATCACCGGATTCAGTGGCTTTCTTGGTATGGACATGTTGGAATAAAAGACCGATGAATTCTAAAGTGTGTGTACCAAGGAATGCTGTGACACAGCCGGCAATCGTGTGGTTTCCAGAAACTTTGACATGATAAAATTGCCAGTGATGGATGTCAACTGACAATTACGGTTAGACCCTCCTTGAAAGATATAACCAGAGTACGATCTGGATGGTGCTCAGTCTTCAAAATCACATCCCTTTGGGATTTGCCGTGATGGTGAAAGTATCCTGAAGTGTGTCTCTCCTTGGTAACAACTGGCTGCTGGAATAACATTGAGCATAGCTCTGTCCATAGGGTGGACGTTATAGCTGCAAGGGAGGATTGGCTGCAGGGGTTCATGGAAACCTGCTGGGAGTGTTCTGTTTTGCATGATGTTGCTCCAGAAATGCAAGGCAGCCCATCCTGTCCTGTTGCTCTAGTTTCTAATTTCAAGCTAGTTTCCTTTTTTGTGTGAACTTACCAGCCCTCTGCCCTGCACATCTGTGTCTTCAGTGACCACTGTTCTCATCACAAATCTCTCACTTGTTTTCCTGGTGCTGGGATTTCTGTAGGAATCTTAGTGCACAAGAAGGCAATGGAAATGATATAGACGTACATCTCAGAATTACAATTAAAAGATTTAATGAAGGGCAGCCCTGACCCTGCAGCTGGAACTGCCTGGGCAGACCCCACGCCTGTGCAGGGTTCCATTCAGGGAGCTCTGCATGAGTGGCAGCGGGTTTGTGTGTCCAGATGAAACAGCAAAATGGAGGCCCAGTACGTGTCCCACATGATCGAATCCTCCTAAACAATGAGAAGCAAGCCCAAGATATACCGTTATAATGGGGAAGGTTGGAGCATTCCAATACACATTTGTCTCTTTGCTGTTCAAGAAAACCATGAGGGTGGAGGGGGCCTCGTTATGCTCCTAGCCTTTCAAAGGGAAGAGCTGGTGATTTCGCTCTTGTCTTCCTTTGGTTGCTTGTTGTATCCCTGTGCTTAGTGTGAGCTTCCTCCTTGACTGAACAGCAGAATATTCCACCTCCACCCCCCACCCCCGCAGAGTTAACCTTTGGACCAGCAAAGCTGTTGTTCTCGTTTGTTTTCTTGATCTTTGGGCAACATGTTTTTATGGCTTTTCTTTCTTTGCCTTTCAAATCCAACTCTCAGGGGTTGTGCAGCTCTTCCCTCCCTGCAGTGGGCTGAGTATATGCTGAGATTGGTAAATGAATTCATGAATAAATGGGGTTAGGAATAAACTACAGCTAGTCACTGAACTACTTGGGTGTTAAATATGTGCCTAGGGTATGAGCTGGTAGGAAGCCTAAAATCTTGGCCATCCTGGCTCTTCCCCCTTTGTTTGTTTAAATGCTCTTATTTTGCTGTATTGAATGTTCATTTGGTGCCAAATGAAAATCACCATTGGTTGCGTGTTAGAATTCTCAGCAGCTTTCATGGGAAAACTGCCCACTGGCTGCAATACATTGATACCGCTGTAGTTGAAATACATTTAAATACACCCAGATGCTGGTGATGCAAATAAAAGCCCTTCCTAGACAACCTCCTGACCTGGATAAAGGCAGAAGGGCCCTGGGGACTCATGGTGCTTTCCTGTTCTGATTTGGGGTAAATGCGTACAAATGTGTATAAACAATGCAGGTGATAAGCTGCCATGCAGTGCTCCAGCGGCCTACTCATTAGCACATTCAACTACATAAACTAAGTGATTGGGCAGCAAAATGGCAAATGAAATGTAATGTTGATAAATGTGAAGTAATGCACATGGGAATAAGTAATCCCAGCTATACATACAAACTGATGGGGACTAATTTAGTGACAACTACTGAAGTGAGATCTTGGGGTCATTCTGGATAGTTTTCTGGAAACATCCACTCTGTGCAGCGGCAATCAAAAAAGCAGACAGAATGTTAGGAATCATTTAAAAGGGAATAGTCTCTGTTTTATTCTCTATCTTATGGCTTCTATATAAAAACCATAGTACATCCACATCTTGAATACTGCGTACAGATGTGGTCGTCTCATCCCAAAAAAGACATTGGCTTTGGAAAAGGTTCAGAAAACAGCAACAAAAATATTTAGGGGTTTGGAACAGGTCCCATATGAAGAGAGATTAAAGAGACTGGGACTTTTCATCTTAGAAAAGAGGAGACTAAGGGGGGATATGATAGAGGTCACTAAAATCATGACTGGTGTGGAAAAACTGAATAAGGAAAAGTTATTTACTTGTTCCCGTAACATAAGAACTAAGGGTCACCAAATGAAATTAATAGGTAGCAAGTTTAAAACCAACAAAAGAAAGTATTTTTTCACACAGCACATGGTCAACCTGAGGAACTCCTTGCCAGAGGAGGTTGTAAAGACCAGCGCTTCAACAAGGTTCAAGAAGGAACTAGATAGCCATTGATGGATCTAACCTCCATGAATCTATTAGCCAAGATGAGTAGGAATGGTTGCCCTGAGCCTCTGTCAGAGCCTGGGAATGGGTGACAGGAGAGGGATCACTTGATGATTGCCTGTTGTGTTCCCTCCCTCTGGGGCATCTGCTATGGGCTATATGGACCTTTGGTCTGACCCGGTGTGGCCGTTCTTATGTACATAGCGATCTCTGCTCTAGGAGACTCTGAAATCTGTCTCAAAAGCCAGAACTCCTCTCAGATGTTATGTGGACCAGAGATTCCACGCACATACAGCTGGGCTCTGTTAATGTTAATCTGGGCTCTGTTAATGAGCTGGGGATGGAGAGTAGACTCCAGAATGTGGGACAACCCTTGCTAGCAGCCCCCATCCCATTGGAGAGCCAGGCCCTGAGTGACTTGGTGCTTTAGAATTTATAGAGTATAACCATCAGCTGGAAGTCCTCTTGAAAACAAACATGCAAGAGCCAGCACCGATTTATGGTGCACCACTTCATCTTCCCTGGCACGGGAGTCTGGGGGAGTTCTGAGGAATAGTCTTTTCTCAAGGTGAGACGGGCCTGGACGATTGCAATAGAGGCTGTGTGTCAAAAGAGTGCACATGCTTGTTTCATGGCTTGGCCTCTGCTGCTGGAGCATTCAGCAGCTGCCTTAGCACAGGCCAGATCTGAGAGCTCATAACCTTTGGTCACAAGTTGCCATTTCCAGCATCATCTCAGTCTTAACATCCAGTTAGCCCTCCTTCAGTGCCAGTCTCCCTAGGCCCTGAGCTGTTGTGCTGTTGGGGTTCAGGAGGAGGCAGGATCGGGAAGATTTGTAGATTAATCTATAGAAGGGAGGTTGGTTTCACAGGCCACCTGACTACTGTGTTTTCAAGAAACGGTGAAGTAAAGCTGTCCTTTTCCATCCTCCTGCAGGGGCCTCCCCACTGTGTTTCCCGAAAGCAGTTTGCTAATGAACAGGGCTGTAAATTACGTGGACTACAGCCTGGAAACTACAGTGTGAGAATCCGAGCCACCTCGCTGGCAGGAAATGGGTCGTGGACAGAGCCCACGTATTTCTACATGGCTGATTATCGTGAGTTTGTTTATTCAAAGTGTAATCTTTAATAGAAATCTGAGTGAGTCTCTGGAGTGGGGGAGCACAGCATGGAGCAGAGGCACTGGATTAGAAGTGTATGGGGAGAAGTAGGGTGATATGGGGGCTACCAGTAGCAAGCACATTGGAGAACTTGAAAGTCTCTTAAAAAGCTGGTTTTTTCCTTCGCTTATTCATTAAGACTGAAGCTGAGGTCACAGTCCTGGATGGCTGCACATTCCTTGTACTGCACAGATAGTCCCCGACTTACGAACGAGTTACGTACCAAACACTTGGTCGTAACTCAATCTTTTCGTAAGTCAGACCCCATTCATTTAAATGGGACGGCGCTGTTCATAAACACGGATCGCATTCGTAACTCGGGGACCGGCTTAATGGGAGGTTGGTCGTAAGGACAAACAGTCGTTAGTCGATGAGTTCGTAACTTGGGGATCACCCGTATACGGCTTAATGCTAAATCAAACTTCCTTTCCTCCATGTGAGCTTAGAAACCTCTGGAAAAGGGCTCTTTGAAACTGAAGAGCTGCCTTCTGTATTGATATGAATTGTGAGAAAAGCACTCCCCTTCATTTGGGGCCAGAAATGGCTTTGCTCCACACTTGGGCTTAGGAGCGCAAGAAGGCAGTGGATAGCAGATGGGTTATTAGGAGTCGCCTAATGCCTCTGATTCTGTTCCAAGTTCCCATCATCAAGGATGTTCCTAAGCCCTTTGATTTGCCTGCATTTGACATAAACTAGCCAACTGGCTGGATCATGTGCACTGTCAAAGTGCTGAGGTCCCATTGTGGGTGGAGCACAGCATGTTTGAGTAGAAAGATTCCTGCTTTGTGCATGGTTGGGCCAATTCTTGAGTGCCACCG